CGGAGCACCAGTGCCAGGAAGAGGAGTCCCCACAACAGCTGACTGTAAAACAGCAGAGATTCTGTCGAGATGAGATGAAGGGCTGCTGGAAACTCAGGTGTACTCTTAAAGGGCCAAGCACAGACTTGCTCACTCACAAACACTTGCCCTCAGCTCCAGCACAGAGGCAGGAGCTGGAAAAGCACCAGGGACATACGGGGAGGAACTGAATTGTCAGGCTTCAAGGTGAAGACTTAGAGGGGCAGCTTTCTCCCAGACAGAAATGCAGGCACAGGCCACTGTTTCTTTGTTGAGTCCTCCACCTAGACAGCCAGCAGGCAGGCATGAAATCTGAGTCTCCACCTGGCTAACACGGCGCAACCCCACCATGGTGATTCCACCCAAACCAACTTGTGTGTCCAGCCCAAGCCTCCTTCAGCAGCTGTTCCTCACAAGCAGCCAGCCTCAGCCTGTACTGCAGACTTTCCTAAAATCTCTCAAAGGTCCACAAACCCCAAATAAGCAGCTGTTGGCCTTGGTGTGCCCTATACCCTTTGCTAAGCGGCCTCAAGCCTGGCATAAGTGGCAGCTGGCCTTGGTTCACAGGTTAGCCTCTCTCAGGAGCCTCCAAGCCCAGCACAGGCAGCAAATGACCTGGCCTGCATTAGAAGCCCTCCCAAGAGGCCCCAGAACTAGCATACCCAGGGGCGAGCTTCAGACCAAAGCAGAGCTTTAGACAAATTTCTCCACAAATGACACACCCACAGGATGAATTCAGCAGGCATCAGAACCCAGCTATAGCAAATCTCACTCTGTGGGGTCAGCCCCTACACAACAGCTCACCCACTGTACTCATGGCCAGTCCTCACAGCCAGTCAGTCTGAGTGTCGATACCATCCACTGATGTGCCAACAGCAATCAAGGCTCAACTACAACAGGAGGGTACACACAACCCATACAAGGTGACCAGGAAAACTGCGCCACTGGGCTCCACAGGACACCTACTACGTAAGGTTACCCTGCCAAGACTGGGGTATCTGGCATATTGACCTATACACAGAAGCAAACACTGGAAGGCAGCCAAAATGAAGAGACAAAGAAACATGTCCAAATGAAAGAACAGGACAAAACTCCAGAAAAAGAACTCAATGAAATGGAGGCAAGCAATCTACAAGATACAGAGCTCAAAACACTGGTTATAAGGATATTCAATGAACTTAGGGGAAGAATAGATTAATTCAGTGATAGAAATCATAAAAAACAACCAGTCAAAAATGAAGAATACAATATCTGAAGAATACACTAGAAGGAATCAACAGTAGAGTAGATGAAGCAGAGAATCAAATCAGCAACTTGGAAGATAAGGTAGTGGAAAACAAAATCAGAACAGCAAAAAAGGAAAAAGAATTTAATATAAGGATAGTTTAAGGAACCTCTGGGACAACATCAAGCGTTAACAACATTCACAACAGTGGTACCAGAAAGAAAAGAGAGAGGAAGGGATTGAGAACCTGTTTGAAGAAATAATGATGAAAAACTTTCCTAACGTGGTGAAGGAAACAGACATACAAGCCCAGGAAGCATAGAGAGACCCAAACAACATGAACCCAAAGAGGCCCACACCAAGACACATCGTAATTAAACTGCTAAAGGTTAAAGACAAAGAGAATCTTAAAAGCAGCAAGAGAAAAGCAGTTAGTTACGTACAAGGGAGCTCCCATAAGACTGTCAGTTGATTTCTCAACAGAAACTTTGCAGGCCAGAATGGACTGGCACAAAATAGTCAAACTGATGAAAAGCAAGGTCCTACAGCCAAGATTCCTCTATCCAGCACGGCTGTAACGTAGAATCAAAGAAGAGACAATTAGTTTCCCAGAACAGAAAAAGCTAAAGGAGTTCATCACCACCAAAGGAGTATTATAAGAAATGTTAAAGGGACTTCTTCTAAAAGAAGGAGAAAGATAAAAAATATGAACAATAAAATGGCAATACATACCTATCAATAATTACTTAAAATGTAAATGGATTGAATGCTCCATTCAAAAGACATAGGGTGACTGAATGAATAAGAGCACAAGATCCATACGTATGTTGCCTACAAGAGACCAACTTCAGATCAAAAGACATAGACTGAAGATAAAGGAATGGAAAAATTTTCATGCAAATGCAAACAAACAAAAAAAGCTTGGTAGCAATACTTGTATCAGACAAAAAAGACTTTAAAACAAAGGCTATAAGAAGACACAAAGAAGGACATTTCATAATGATAAAAGGGATCAATCCAACAAGAATGTAAGACTCTAAAACATAAAACTTAAGAAAACATAGGCAGTAAACTCTCTGATATTGCTCTTAGTAATATTTTTTTGGATGTGACTCCTCAGGCAAGGAAAACAAAAAATAAAATAAACAAATGGGGCTATGCCAAACTAAAAAGTTTTTGCACAGCAAAGGAAACCATCAACAAAATTAAAATACAGCCTACTGAATGGGAGAAAATATTCACCAATGATACATCCAATAAGACGTTAATATTCAAAATATGTAAAGAACTTATGCAACTTAACACCAAAAAGACAAACAATCTGATTAAAAAATAAGCTGAGTGAATAGACATTTCTCCAAAGAAGACATACAAATGGCCAATAGACATATGAAAAGATGCTCTATGTCACTCATCAGAGAAATGCAAATTAAAACCACAATGAGATAATACCTCACGTGTCAGAATGGCTATCATCAATAAATCAACAAATAACAAACACTGGGGAAAATGTGGAGAAAAGGGAATCCTCGTGCACTGTAATGGGAATACTGATTGGTGCAGTCACTATGGAGAACAGTTTGAAGGTTCCTCAAAAAATTAAAATCAGAATTACCATATGACCCACCAAATACCCAGAAGGGTACTTATCTGAAGAAATCCAAAACACTGATTTTTTCAGAATGTTAACCATCTGTCTTAACTGTTTAATCATCATCAATACCACAGAAAACAAAGGTAGAAAGACAAGTTACATGGATCATAAAGCAATTGTGTTTGTGATCTCCTACAGGAACAAATAAGCATCACTCTCTTAATTATGCAAATATTTGGACTTTTTTCCATCTATACTTAAGAGATTTACTAAAATACCAGTAATAGTATTTAGTTATAGTGATTTATAGGTACTTTCATAAAAAACATCAATCCAATGTATTAAGACTATGCAAATACCCAAATGCAATACATAATCACAGTGTATAATGTCTTCATGTTTATGCACTAGAACCCCTATGTGAAATCTTCCAATGAGCTGAAAACCAAAGTCTATGAACCAAAGTAGGAATGAGTTCCTTAACCATGTATGACATCTGGCTAGGTAATAGTTTAAAAACACCTGCTTTTTCTGCATTTTTAGAATTCTGCAAAACTCTGTAAGCAATTACACTCATTTCATGTATGGCATGCTCCATGCTCTTTAAATGTTGAATGTGCTAAAAATGGTAGCTGGCCCGGCCAGGCGTGGCTCAGTGGTTGAGCGTTGACCGAGGATCCAGGTGATCGGGGTTCGATTCCCGGTCAGGGCACATGCCCTGGTTGTGGGCTCGATCAATGACTCTCTCATCATTGATGTTTCTATCTCTCTCTCTCCCTCCTTTCCTCTCTCTGAAATCAATAAAGATATATTTAAAAAAAAAATAAAAATGGTAGCTGGTGCTCGGCCAGCATGGCTCAGGGGTTGAGCACTGACTATGAACCAGGAGGTCACCTGGTTCGATTCCTAGTCAAGGTACATGCCTGGGTTTCGGGCTCGATCCCCAGTAGAGAGGAGTGCAGGAGGAAGCCGATCGATGATTCTCTCTCATCAATGATGTTTCTCTCTCTCCCTCTCCCTTCCTCTCTCTGAAATCAATAAAAACATTAAAATAAAATAAAATAAAATAAAATAAAATAAGCTGGTGACTTCAATATCATTCCAAGATGTACCTTCCTAAAATTATAAAAGTGTATTTTAGTCACATCACTGGCTATATTCATAAATCCTGATGAAGGAAAAGATTATTATATGTACCTTAATTAGGGCAACTATGTAAAATTAAGGATATTGATATTATAAACTTGCCTTACTTTTAATAAGTTTATTTGCATTGGAAAACTCAAATTTGTGGCTCTGGCTGGTGTGGCTTAGTTGGTTGGAGCGTCATCTCCTACACCTAAAGGTCGTGGGTTCAATTCCCTCCAGGAGGACACAGACCTAGATTTCAAGGGGGTTCAATCTCTAGTTGGGAGACAACCAATCACTGTTTCTCTCTCTCTCCCTTTCTCTCTAAAATCAATAAAAGCATGTCCTTGGGTGAGGATTAAAAAACAAATAAAAACAAAACTGAAATTTGTGTACCTTTGATTGCTTTGAAGCCAAGGACTGCGTAATTCTACTTCTTTGAATTTCTAGCAGCTGGTTCAGTATTTAACCAGAGCTCAGTGAGTTCTTATCACCGTTCTAAGGTCTTTTACATTTTTTTTGCACACAGACACGAGCTGGTTTCACTGTAACATCTGGGGTAGGGATGGGAGTGGGGGCAGAAGGGAAGGCCAGATGCAACCACGAAGCCTCAACAGTGCAAGCAGTTTTCTTTCTTAAGCTGGGTGGTGGGTGCACAGGCATTCATTATATTATTTATTTTCTTATAACGCTTTGCATAATTCATTTTTTAAAAGATCAAAGTAAAAACTAAGTATAATATTCACAGCTTTATTTTGCTTCACACAGTGGCAACTACTGGACCATTTACTTCAATATACTTCACCAAAGGTGCAGAGAGAAATGTCTTTCATTGCTCAGACTTAAGTGTTGGGAAAGCCTAACAAAAGTAGAAATTAACCTCTCTGCCCTCTGATGGCTCTTCTTCTCAAAGAAGTCTGTGTTAGAAATTAAACACTGCTTCTAACTACAAGTGTCATTTTAACAGAATATGACTGGTGTAACAGCAGCAACATGCCATGCCTCCAAGTGTAACTCTCTCGCTGAGTAAATTACCTCAATTTCCTGTAACTGCTCCTGATTGGTTGTGTACATCTGCTGAAGAGAATCCTCCAACTCTGTGTTCCGATCCAGTAATGTCTTCCCAAGCTCAGCAGCAAGATGGAGATCTAGCAGGACAAGCAAATAATGCAAATGACCTCACTGCAACATCTTATATAACCCAGTCCTTAAAATAAGAATGAACCAAGACCCAACCCAATGTAGAAAGTTTAAGTCAGATCCCTGTAGAACAGAGTGGGGAACCTTTTCTCTTCCAAGGACCATTCAGATTATTTGTAACTCATTTACGGTCCATACAAAATTATCAGCCTAAAAATTAGCCCGCTATATTTGGTCAAACATTTAATTAACTCACCCCTAATGTGATGGCTGGAACTGCTTTTCTTTGGTCAGGCCTTGGCAGGGCCAGACCAAATGATTTCGGGCTGGACGTTCCCCACCCCTGCTGTAGGAGGTGGAATGGCCCACAAGGAAACCTGAGTCATAGTTAAGATCCAGTTGAATTGGGGCCCTCTACTTGTAATGTGCTCTCTTATGTGCCCCTATTTATAAGATGTGAAGGAGACTGGTCTTTATGGAGATATACTCATTAGTCTAGGAATGATCAATCAGCATTGTGACTTCTAAGATCATAATTATTTTATAATGGACTGGATTTATTCATATCCTGATTATCTCCTTTTTTGGGCAGAGCCTCAACCAAAGTACAGGCAGATATTTAAATAGTCTCTAAAGTTCCTATGAACTCTGGCTGCTGTAAATGTGCATTGTATTATTGCAACTGTCAAAGCAAAGTTTATTTTGACAAGTGGATACTGCAATCGCCTGGGTGAGAGATAATGGTGGCTTGGACTAGGGTGGCAGAAATGGAAATGGAGAGAAGGGATAGGATTCTGGATATGTTTTGAAAGTAGAGGTAAAAGGATGTGTTAACCCAATAGGATGCAGTGTGTGTGAGAAGAAAAAAATGAATTTGGTGATAATAAAAAAAGGATCTACTTTAGAAAGGAAGGTCACAAGGAAAGTCACTCTGAGGACAGGTCTTAGCTAAAGCTTGAAGGATGAGGACCTCGCCAGTAAAAGCCAGGCAGAGGCACTGCAACATGAGAGAACGTGACATGTCCTTGACAAAATGCCAGTTTGAAAGAAGCATGAGGGGAAGACTGGTGTGAGATGAAGTAGGAGAAGTAGGCAGGGATCGGGTCACACAAGATTTTATAGGCCATGGTAAAGTTTGACTTTTATTCTAAGTATGATAGGAAGTCATTTTACTTAATGTCATAAAAATGTTTATTATGAAAAGGTACTTGTTATAAAAAAACAGGGAGCTGTACTACATGATTTTTAAACTTAATTTTTAGAGGTTGACAAATAAGGTTTACATCTGTTCATTACTATTGATATTAAAACTCCACCTAGAATAAGAGGTAATAGGAAAGCAATATATTTTGTCATCTGGTACTGTTCATTCCAGTGCAGAATTAGTATCCTGCTTGGTTGGTTTTCTCTCACTGGGAAAAAAGAAAAGCAGCAAAATTGACCACACACCACTGCAGCTCATAGTAAATATTTTACATTTAAAATAAACTGGTATACTGTCAATAGACAGGTGTTAAAATACATTCTCTCATGATTGAAATATTAACAATGCCTATTGATGTACTAAAGGCCTAGGATAACAATTCTATGAAATAACACCTTGTATTCACAAGACAGAACCTTTATGAAAGGCTCGAATCATGTAAGAGACATTCATCTTTATATCTTTTCAAGGTATTTAGACCAGTTGTTCCGATGAGACAACTTTAAGCACAAAGATGCTAACTGACCTGATCAAATCTACACACGAGTCACAGGCAAAACAGACACTCGTGTCACCAGGTTCTAACTGTCACTCTCATCACCATTCTCTACTTTATTATCCATGTCTACACAGTTTTAAGATGACTGACAGGGGTGTCTGCACACTTCTTTAAGGGAGAGTACAAATTTCTCTAGTTGAGGTATTTAAATCTTTTTGCTCGTTTTCACAGATGGCAACCAGAAACTAGAGTTGAGCTACCTGGCTTTTATTGCCTACTCTGTCAAAGAAAGTACGTACAACCTTAGGTAAGCTAATCTATTGTTTTCACTAAGTGAAAACAGAACTATGTATGGCTAAAGATGTTCCAGAAATAATTACTTTGTACTCATAGGGTATGCAATGTGAATACACAGTGCCACATAGAAGCCACCACTCTGTAGTAAAGACAAAGTGTCTCCTTGCCTGTTTTATAGTGGTGAGTAATTCCTCACTGGGAAGGACCAGAGACTCACTAAAGATGTTCTTAACCAGCAGTAAAAACCTTAATCAAGACTAACTTCAGATCAAAGCCTGAATCAAGACTAACTTCAGACCACCCTTACCTACTTCCATTCCGTTATGAAACTACCCACAGCCAGGAGCAGCTCTCCTCCTACTGCAGAAAGGGATGCCAAGTAAAGCACTCTTCCAGTCAACGGCAACCAGAAAAGAACTTGAGACTTGCCCTGTCTCAGCCCTTATTTCCAGTTAAACAAAGCCCAACCTGGCTAAATAACCTCAAGTCTCAGTCTCCTACATATTTTATAGGCTGTTTAGGATAGAATTCTGGCAAGACAAGTATCAACTACAAGAAAGTGCCTGTGAAGTCACACTGTATAAGAGGATACTACTTCATCTGTTAGTTTAAGGACAAGGGTATTTTTCGGTCTTTAAAAAAAGTTCATTTCCTGTCGCGTAGCGTATGGCTTCTATAATCAAAAGGAGCCAAAAGCTGGCAGTAAGCCCAAGAAGGTTTTCTAAATAATTAGTGGGGCAAATGGGAAGAGTATTCAATGTTCTTTATTACTGTTTTTAATTAAGGCACAAAAGAAAAGAAAATGATATAGTTTTGAGCCATATGCATCTGTTCATCTATTTTCCAATAAGGATTTTCATTAGGAGGTTGTCTTTTCTAAATCCTACTGAACTGGCTTGGGCAGCACTAAAAATACCACAGATTTACTGCAGGCTTGAGAACCACAACCTAGCAACACCTCATGTTTAATATTCTTTCACTAATCAGCCTTTGCAAGTGATAATAATCCATTTTAACACTAAACTGTTAAGCTTCAAAAAGACATTCCACTCAGCCCTACATCTTAGGCAGAAAAAATATTAGCTCTAGCAGCCAGAGTGTATTTTTAAAAGTATCTTTCTTCCAGAATTCGTAAACCTTTAAATTCCATTGCTATTATATTTTTATTTTCCTCAGTTTTTTAAAAAACCATATGAGGACAACATATTCCCACATTAACTGTGGTCTACAGCAGTAATTCAATAATATTAAGGCTGAAAGCTTTTCCTATTACAAAGTCAAATGCGTCATTTGGTGATGCTCCTGTGTGACTCCTGTTGCCAATGTTACTATAATTGGGAAAGAAAAAAACTTGAATATAAACATCAAGAAAAACGATGATGTCAGTTTTAATGGCCCTCCAAACAGTGATTCGGCAAATTAGTTACACACCAGGAAAATGTACTCATCTTGAAAAGAAGTAGGAATCTTAGGATTCCTTTAAACTAAGATTTCATTTGCTGATCCATGCAACAGAAACCCGAATCCTTATTCTAAGCTTGCACAGCTCCCCAAACAACAATTATAATAGCAGCTGGTCTAAAGGATAAGCCAGTCTCTGAAGTCTTTCCACCTTGCTCTCAGGGGCACCTTTCAAACAGAAGGCTCCTGCTGTCCCAGAAAGGATAGTGCCCACAGAGATCACTGTCGGTATTCTTCCTGTGCCAACTCAGCCCTCTGACAAAAGACAATCTCTTCATCAAAGTGTTCTGTAAAAGCAAAGGGTTTTTTCCTTCTGCCTGCACACAGCTTTATAAGTTTCTATAAAGGTGTGAATAGTAGACCAGAGCCTTTCGAGGTTAGATTTTCCCCCAGCAACTTTAATTTAAAAAAGAATGCCCCAGCAAACTTTGATAACTTAAATAATGCTTCTACTGCTAAGGAAAAATAACTGTAGTTCTATGACTTTGAGACAGGATCTTAAAGTTGTTTTAGTAGCTCTCTCCAAACAAGGCTTGCTCAGTAAAGTTAATACAGGCAGACGTAGAAGATATTGTGGATTTGGTTTCAGACCACTGTAATTATGCAAGTATCACAATAAATTGAGTCATAATCTTTTTGCTGATGGAGGGTCTTGCCTTCCATTTGTAAAAAACGCAACACCTGTGTAACATGAAGTGCAGGTAAGATAAAACAAGGTCTGCTGGTAGCGAGGATGTTAACAAATGAACAGACACGTGTCTGCACTTGATAAAATCCCACTACATTTGCTTATCAATTTGTTTAACAGGACAGACCTGCTGTGCCTTCAGCCTTCATTTTTTTACAGGCCATATTCACAAGTTATGATTGTTGGAATTTCACATCTATTCCTACCCCACACACTTGGATATGACATACAGGGTTATGCCAAAGTCCACTGTGATAACGGATGTAAAAGTCCTTTGAGAAGCACAGAACAAATTCCAAATGCAAACTGGCATTAAGGAGGTTCAGGCCTGTGTTCTTTAAGACTTCATTAGCTTGCACACTTGATGACTTCCTTCTGATCAGAGGTTAAAGAGTTCTACAGGTAACCCCAACAAGTTGCATTTGCTTCTCGAGTAGACTGAAATATCACAAATGGTTGTTCCTAACAACCTCCCACAGGAGAAAGTACAGTGTGGACTACGGTACCTGATAGATGAGCGCCATGAAAACAGTAAAGAGTGCCTCAGTTCAGCCCAACAAATATTAAAATTGAGCTTCTATTATGTGCTAAGTATTATGCTAGATTAAAAAAAAAAAAAAGCACAAAAAAACCCCCCAAACCAAGCCTGTACAGATCTATGCTTCTTAAATGCAGGGAATAAAAATATTTAGCTTTGATTATACAAACTGCTCAGTTTATTATAAGGAAATCTTGCAATTGCAGTGGTTGTCACATTAATCCTGGAGAAAGTATCAAACTAGGCCATCAATCCTTATGGGGAATTCTGAAAGCAGGTTTGTTAAAAGGTAAGACAAATTGGTCTTGCGGACAGAGCGCATATGATGGTAGATACTGCACTGCAGCTGCTAAACAGCTTCTACTACAGAAGCAGGCATAACGGTGAACTACTTTGGTTTAAGTGACTGTCCACAGCATAGTGACTTAAAAAAATCACCTTTCCCCCGAAGAGGTGTTTATTTTCCTATTCTAAGTGCGAGTCATCCCCTCACCCCCAAGTTCCATGGCTAACGCGAACGAACATTATGGCCATTTAATAGTCACTAAACGAAACGCAGATTTTCAGTGCAAGTTAAAGCTGAAAAAGTTGATTTACACAGAATCGCAGAAAAGGAAGAAGCCTGAAAAATTCTGCCGAGGATGATTCAGAACAGCCGTTACGAAGTTCGCTGGAGTTCGGGCGGAACCCCAGCTCCCCCAAGAACAGCACCTACTTCTGCCCCCACGGCGGCCGGGAGGATTAAATGACACCCGCGTAAAGGGCGGGTCGGTGCCTGGCTCACAAAAAGCGTCTCCAATCGCAAGGTCCTGCTACAACAGGCAAAGGAAGGGGGGCCCGACTCCAAATGCACGGCCGTCTAGGGTTCTTCTCTGGAGACAGACCTTCGGCCGGAAACCCAAGGCACGCCGAGAAGCCGAAGCCAGCGTTTAACCGACAAGCCGGAGTCCAGAGCGAAGGAAGAGCAGAGGTGGGGATGCCCTCAAGCCGCGCGGCAGGGCCCCCGGTGACCCGCGCGCAGCGTCTCCCCAACGGGCTACCATCCAACCGACGCCGCAACCAAAGGGCGGTTTGGGCAGCGCCGGGGACCCTCAGCGCGAGCGAGCAGGTTCAGAAACACCTGCTCCCCCTCTTATCTTGAGGGCAGTCACTTGGCCGCTTTGGCCCCCGCTTTCCTCACCTGGAAAATGGGGTTAACATCAAGAAGTTACCCTCCCACAGGGTTGCCGTGCGCGCACAGGGCTTGGCGCGGGT